TTTTCCTCGCGGTGTGGGAGAGAGTGGACGCGCCGGGGTGTGAGGAGCAGAAGCGGGGCTGTCCACATGGTCCAACCGCTGGCGTGAAACTTCTCCAGAAACCCCGAGAACAGGTTGATGCTTTATCTGCACTTTACTTCTCTCAGCTCTTCCTCTCCCTCCTCTCTCTCTCTCTCCATCTCATCTCATCTGCCGCACCAAAAACAGACGAACTTTAACTTCATTTTATTGTATTCTTCCTCGCGCAGCTGTCTGATAGCTACTTTTTTTCTTCTTCTTCCTCTCTTTCACTTTTTTCGCCTTCACCGGAACTTTTACCCCCCCCCCCCCAGACATGAACTTGTTTTGAAAGTTTAACGAAAAGAAAACGGATGTTTTGTCTAGATTTTATTTGATCCAACGCTTAAAACGCTTCTTTTTAATGTACTCGTGTGGACACAAATGTTCTTTCTGCGTTTGGAAAACTTCTAGAAAAGGGTCTAAAAGTTCCTCAATAATAATAATAATAATAATAATAATAATAATAATAATAATAATAATAATTAGAGTAAGATAAAGTTGGAGGTTAAAAACAGGATGAGAGTTTTGTGCGTCCGAGGGTCGTTCCTTTAGCTCGATTTATTGGCTTGAATTAACAATAACGTTTAAAATCTTTTAAAATGTGGGGATTAAACTCCCCCAGTGGAGATAAAAGAGCCCTTGTCTTAAAAAGAAAAGGAGAGATTGAAAAAAAAAAAAAAAAAAAGGAGCTTTCTCGCGCAGACATGGTCAATAGGTTTTGAGGAACAATACTTTCTTTTGAAACACATTTTTGACTTTTGGAGCTGAAGCCGCTCAGAGGAACTCCCTCAGGTTGGATCTGCTGCCTGGCTTCTTATTCTACTGAAACACGTGATTGTTTCAAGAAGATGTTTGGACTGATCCAACATGAGAGAAATAATCTGTGGATTCAATTCATCTGAAGGGGGAAAAGAAAAGTCACTTTTTTTTGGATAAAACGCACAGTTTTATTGTTATATTAGTTGAAATTTTCATGTTGAAAACGGTGAAATTCGAGCATTTCCTTCATCTTTGTGCTCTCGGGCCTGCAGCAGGAGGGAGTTTAAGTTTGCGTTTTTCAAAAGAAACGTGTTCATACAAAAACGGGTGTTCAGGCGAGTAAAATACAGAAATGTTCAACTTTTAATTTGAAGTAAAAAAAAAAAAAATAATCCGATAATTTCCTCACAGCTAAGAGGATCAAATGTGTCAAAAGAAAGAAAGAAAGAAAAAGAGAGAGAAAGAAAAAGGTAAATGACAATTAATTGCTGTTAGTTGTCTGTCACGCGGGCGCGCACCCTGACACCGCTATTATTGCCGGGTGATTGATGGGCGCGAGGGCATTTGGCATAATTAATTTTATTTACTGTGCCCCCTCCCCTCCCTCTCTCTCCTGTTGTTGTCCCCCCCTCCCTTTTTTTTTTTTTTTTCGTGAAGACACTTTTAATTGCGCTTTAATAGAAGATCCGGCGGGAATGAAAAAGCTCTTAATCACATTTTATGACCTTCGCCACATTTGTGGTGTCTGCAGCAGGAGAGGCAGGTAGCCCCAGGTGCGCGCGCTGCATGCCGGGAGACGAAACAATTAAGAGTTTTTTTTCCAGTTTTGTCAACAGCAACATGTTGGCTTCCTTTAAAAAAAATAAAAAAATTCACATCTGAGTTTTTATTTTTATTGGCCTTCACTCTTTTTTTTATCTCCTGCTTTTATTCTAATAACCAGACCTGGAAATGCTTTCATTTCTTTTCTTTACTTCTCTCTTTAAAAAAAAAAAAAATTACTTAAATTATTCGTTTTGTTTCGCCCAGACATGAAATGTTGAAAATATTTTATGTTCTTATTCGCATACTTTTAAAACTGTTTGAATATAATAATTAATTTGACAGTAGCACTCAGATGAATATTTACCAAAAAAATCAACAGCTTTCTCACAAAAAATTTAAAATAATGAAAAAGTAGGATTAAGCTTTTTTTTTTAATTATTATTATTTGTAAAATGACGTCTGGAGCTTTAAGATGCTTAAATTCAGCTCTGGAGTTGTCTCAGTTTAGGAACAGTTTTTGGGCCCTAATAAAACAACAACAACAAAAACTTATAGATTTGCATTTAAAATACCCAGATTGATAATCTCTTGCACGTGTCAAACAGAAGAGCATTAGAGATTAGTTGCGGTTGAAAATCCTTGTAAAGTTGTCATGGCTATCACCTCGGTGACGATTATTGTTTATGGAAATATAACGTGAAAGATGCAGCATTTGAGAGGCAGATGTGGAGATTTGAGGGGAAAACGAGCGTAAATGTGCAGGAAGCCAGAGGTGTCAGACACAGATTGACTCTTCTCTGATGGCTGTTGTGTTCCTGAGTCTGGATTTGTCTGAACATTGCCATCTCTCGTTTTTTTTTTTTTTTTTTTCATCTGACTTACTTCAACACTTTTTCCCGTCTTGACGGTTTATTTTTTCCCCTTCTCTCCTCAGCTGCTGTGTGTTTTTCCATGTCCTGTTTTGTTTCATTGTTTGGAGGAGTTGTGCAGATTTCTATCAGTTTCAGACTGAGATTATTGTTTCATGTAAATATATATATATATATATATATATATATATATATATATATATATATATCCAGGTGGTCCTGAGTATGTGAGTGTGTGCCGGAGTGTGTGAGGCCGTCTAAGAGACAGGCAATAATGGCTGTGAATCTGGTGCGCTTTAAAACCCCTTCAATGGGATTAATAGCCACCGACATGATTGTATTATTCCATAAACTCACTCACAGAGTCCTCACCTCCTGCATGAGTGCATGTGAAGGCGCATGTGGAAGTGTGTGTGTCCAAAAGTGCCTTTTTTTTACTCAATACACCTGTCCTGCTTGACTGAAAATGGACAGTATTTGAGTTTTTTTTTTTTTTTCCAAACGTCCCGTGCGTCGGTAGCACAGTTGGCTCGCCTGTCTGTCTCTACATCTCTGACGCTCTCTTCATTAAAAACCCTCCTGCTATTCCTAAAACCCACAGGTCTGAGTGGGCTTCTGGCTCCAAAGTGATGTTGAAGAGCAGCCGTATACGACACCGTTACATACATGTAGGGTTTGACCTGCATTAGATGCTCACAAATTTACTCGTATTGATGCACTTCGGTGTTTTAAAAGCTGCGATGCTTAAATTTTTAAAACCCTTTGGGTGGGTTTTGATTTTTTTATTTTTTTTTATCCTCTGCAGTATTTCAAAAGATAAACTTGAATCTTACATTACCATTAAGCTGAACATCTGTTAAAGAACACTAGAAACGTTTTATACCCTTTATTGCCTGTTTTTATATTAATTGAAACAAAGTTTAATGGATGAAACGCAACAGATTTGTTCATTTTGAATTTTTCAGGGATAAAAGGAGACATAAAATATTTTTAAAATGGAATTGCTCTGCTTTAACAATTGTTACTGTAACATAATTGAAAAATGAGCGTGTTATTGCACACGGACAGCTGGCAAACGGGGGAAAGTTCTGCTTGTGTATGGAAGTGATTGACTGCGCAGTGGAGCAGCCGCCACATTTCTTCAGACTGAGGCCTGATTATACACGTGGTTCTAATTGAACTTGTTATTTAGGAGAAGCCGAGGGCCGAAGTCGTGCGTGAAAATGTGTGCATCTGTCTGTGCGCTTTCAATGAATCCTACTCGTTTTCCCAAAAATTAGCTATTTTTTTGTATAGGTTTTGAATAGGTTCAGAAGATGATGATGTACAGTGCAACTTACAGGACAGTGAGGGAGGTAAAAAATGGGATTTTGCAGTATTTGAAACATTGCTTTTGAGTAAGAAGTATTTTGTCATTATTGTTTATTAAGTCACGTTTAAGTAAAATAGCTAACGTGGTAATCCGCTAAAAAAAATGCATGCCCCTCTCACGTGATTGATAAAGTTATGATTTTATCTGTGGGTTCTGTGTGTTGTCTCACCGGCTCCATCACAGCCGTGGCCCATTAACAGCTGATGGATGTGGGAAGAAGTGACCTAACAGCTCAGAACGGAAAAGGCTGTTTCCTATGGATGGAGGTGGAGAGGTGGGGTGGCAGACAGAGATAGAATATAGGAGGGGAAAACCTGTGCGGTGAGAGGGGAAACAACTGTGTGAGAGTTCGAGCTGAGGAAACGTTAGATCAGCCTCTCCGGAGCGAGTCTGGCACCTGAGGTTGGAGCTGTGGAGTCTCGAAGGCTGAGAGCCGTTTGATTTCCAACAGTGGCACCGATCGCCACTCAACACAGTCGATGTGAGCACCAGTGTTGTGTGCAGAAGCTGGGTGGGGGGGGGGGGGGGACGCCTGTTGTGTTCCAGCAGAGCATCTTCTTGAAAACGCTCTCCTTGGTCATTGTGTCCCCTGCTAACTCTGCGTGGTTTCTGACAGCTGTATTTGTGTTATGGATTTTCCTTCACTCCGTCCCTTCTCCCTTTCCGTTTCCCCCTGCCTCCCTCTCTCAATCGGCTCCCCTTCTCTCCGTCGCCTTCACCCCATAACCTTTTGTAAGCACTTCATCAGAGAGCCGTTGGTGTTTTCTAAAGCCCCGCGACAAACTGACAGGGCAGCCGTCAATCGAACGGGTAACCCAGTGGAAAGCTTCCCTCCGAACAAACTTTCTGCAGCCCTGCTTTAATGTGCGTTGAAAAGGGCTGGCTGAGAAGGGCCGGTGACAGCTGTGAGGCGCAGGACTCCAAGTGCCATGGATATATACACACGCGCACGC